CACCTTCCTCGTCTTTTTTCTTTACCTCTTCTAAGTCATCAAATTTCTATTATTTCATGTTCCTCTTCATTCTCAGAAACAAAAATGAGTTTCATGGAGCGAGATCAGGTGAATAAGATGCATGGGGCAAGAGAGGAATGCTGCTTTTATGCCCAGACCTGGTGCACTGAGATGGCTGTGGGAGCAGGTGCATTGTCGTGGTGACAAAACCAGTCCCCGACTGCCACAAATCAGGGGTCTTTTGATTGTACACTGTTACTCTTTTCAGAACCTCTAATTAGAAAGTTTTATTAACAGTCTGACCAGGTTGAATGGGCTCCAAATGTATTACAAGTAGATATTTTCATCTGTTCGGGGAGTTGACAGATGTCCAGAACGAGGTTTGTCATCAAGCAACATTTTGCCTTTTTTGACACGAGAAAACTGCTGGTACACTTGAGTTTGTCCCATAGCACTGTTCTTGTAAGCTGTGTTCAACATCACAACAGTTTCTGCAGCATCCCCCACCCCCACCCCCACCGTGGGAAACACAATTTCACAGCCACACACTGTTCTCTTAAATCAGCCATCACAAAAAGAGGTGGTTCTGGTGAAACTGCTTTCATGAAAAAATTCACTGTGACCAGAGAGAACCTTCTCAGGAGATGCCATGGGTGCACTAAATCAGAGGTTGTTGCTTGATGCTCGCCTCGTGGTAAAAATGCATACGCCACCCAGCGCAATTCTGGTGTTTGGGAGGGTACCCCCTCATTTAAGTGGAAGCTTTCTGAGCTAGAGAGCAGTTGGGTTTGTGTTTTTTACCCAACAGTTTTATTGGCATATAACTCAAATATCATACAATTAAGTAGTTCAGTCACATCAAGAGAAGTTTTAAAGGTAAAGAGGACTACAGTGCATAAATGTGGCAAAGTGCATAATCATGGCAAATTAGTCTTGGAAAGGATATGCGGGCTTACTTTCCCCTAAGATGGGGACTTCAGGGAGGAATGATAGACAATTCTGGGCAACTCTGGAGTAGAAGAGTATATGTACATTCAGTGAGTATGAGAAGAGGTTATTTGAGAATGGGACCCAGGGTGGGGTTTAAGATTTGAGGACAATAGAAAAGATCTGGAGCAATGTCTGAGGGATAGAGTAAGATGAATGAGGAATTTTCTGGTACAGATATGAGAACAATTGAAATGACTAACTTCAAGGTATAGAGTGGGTACGAAGGCAAATACTACTTAAAGGAAGGTGGAAAACTAGAAAACCATAGCTGGTGGCTACAGAAGACGCTAGAGATGACTTGAGTGAGCCAACAGGGCAGTTGGGAGAGCAGAAGACTTGTTGGAGTGGAAGGTTTTAGTAGCAGCATGAGCACATCGTGGGTGAAGACAAGAGCCCAGTTGTGACTGTGCTGCTGAGAAGCTGAAATAAAATAGAAGCAAAACTTGTTGGATTTAAAAGTCCACAACTGTGAGGCCACAATGGGTACTGAGTGGACAATTTATTAACGAAGATGTTGAAACTACTGAGGAGACGGAATTCGACCAAAGTAAATAGAGAAGCTGTTAATCAGAAGACAGAATATTCCAGGAAATTGGGAGAGAGTTCTGAATAGGGAGTATGTGATATAACTCAGTGCTGCTACCTTAGAAAGCAAACGTTCAAGATGAGCAAGGAGGACAAATAGCAATCAAAGCATTTTGGAAACGTAGAGAAAGGTGTTTTATAAGTTGGGTCATTGAAAGCAGAGTGGTCTCTACTTGAGATTTCTGGGAAGGACATTTCATATGGTGCGAAATTCCAGAATTCCATTTGGAAGTTGAAGTAGCAATCAAGGCTGTAAGGTAATTAGTGTCTATTACGATAACCCTTTTAAAGGTTACAGTGGATAATGGTGGGTGGGGGCACAGAGGGCTCTGTTGTGTCTGAAAATATGGAAGTGACACAGGATTGGGATAAGCTTGTTGAAGGCAGATTTTGAGTTCTGAGAATAGATAGTAATTATCAATGACAGAGATGAAGGGAAATGACATTGAAAGGTAATAAATGTAAACTAGGGGAGAGTAAGTGAAAGTTTTATAATTTGTGGACTATAGAGAATTAAGTAGCCCCAGGTCTCCATTGAAAACATTAGCATGCCCAACTAGAATGTATATTTGGCATGTTAGTATGTCCAATAGGAACCCTGGCATGACCAATTGGAATGGTGATTGGAGCATCAGTGCAACCAATTAGAATATTATTCTCTTCAGCTGGAACATTGGTGTGACCAATCCCCAGAGGGATTTTGGACCAAAAATGGAAATAAAATAGACCTAGAACAGCTTTCAAGGGAGATACATTCTGAGACTTTTTTGAGTCCTATTGAAGGAGTTTGTCAAATGCTGATCATTTGCACATGTGATGTCAAATGCACATCACAACTAATGATTATGACTATCATCTTAATATACTCACAAACTTTACAGGATCATATCTTTGTCGTGCCACTAGTCTTTAGTGCCTAACAGGTATTAAAAAATCTCATGGGAAATTTTTTTCTCAGAAACCAGTACTCCAAAGCAGATTTTTAAAATCTTTATGAACCTTTATTTGTGTAATTAGTCTTTTCTCCTTTTTAATTAGCATTTGTCCATTTTTAATATGCATAAAACTTTATAGTATGGGTTTCATATGAGTATGTATAAGGTTTTATGGCTTGAGCCTACCCATTTTATAGTTTCTGTCACTCATCTTTAAATGTGGTATATTTATTTTCCAAACCACTTCATTTCCTTTTTGGAACAAAGTAGAAGAATGGACAGGCAGACAAAGTGAGATGGGGGAGGAAAAGAGAAGGACAGGCGTGTTGCTCAGGGAGTTTGGAGAAGATTATACACTCCAGTTACTACCCCGATATCTCTTCATTTCTATGGGCCATCATCCCCTGAGAAGGGTATGAGGACCTGCCTTTATGACCTACCTAAAGCATCTGTCTCTAGTAAATAGCATGTGCTCAATGAAATCTTGTTGATATGAAATGTTTATTGATTGGCATTTTTAGCATGTATTTTGTTGAATATCCCTTAATACACTTCGACTTCCTCCTTTGGGAAACAGTGTTATATATTCCTTAGAAAAGAATTTTGGAGTCAAACAGACCTTTGTTTGAAAACTAACTCTGCTGCTGATTATCATGTCCTTGGTCAAGAGATATTGCTCACTGTCTCTGGACCTGTTTTCTCGTCTATAAAATTGAGAAAATAATACTACTACTAAATCACTGGAAGGCTTTATGCACAGAACAGCACCCGACGGTTTCTGGCACAAAAAGGCACTCAGCAAATCTTAAGTCTCGTCCCCCCACCTCCCCCTTTATATTGTAAGGTCACATAAGCTGACCTCTTATGGCCAAAGAGCCTATGGTTCTGGTACTGCCTCCAACCTCAAGCCTGCCTCAAGAGGTTCTGATTTAGGAAAATCTAGCTTCCATGGTCCAGTACTCAGTTGGTTTTGCCTCAACTGTTTGCCTTCTAGGTATCTATCTCTTGCGAGTTGCCGGACTCTCTCAGGTTTTGAGAGCTATCATTTTAGGGTATCATGTATTTCAAGTCAACTTGCCCCATGTGGGTTGGTGTATGATCTGAGGACTGTTCAAAGTACACGAAATCCAAGTCGTGAGTCAGAATGATGAGATCATCCATCTTGTAGTGGGATGAGCTACCCAAGGTGATATAAAATATTCAGTCTATGACAGGCTATTGTGTTGTTTCTTAGATCTTTTGTATCTTCTGATTTGAGTTATTGCTTTTGTGGATACTCTTCATGCTGGGTCCTGTGTAGCATGTGACAGTGGCAGCACCAAGTTTTTGGATTTCAAGGGATACTGCATTTTCTCAATGGAGAAATGTGTTGCACTTAGATGTTGGGAAATGCTCCTGTTTCTTGAGATCCTTCATAATTTTTAGGAGCTCTGAGCTGCCAATTTGTTTTTCACCTCAAACAACCCACTGTCAGCAAGTCAATTCAACTCATAGCTTCTCGATAGGACAGGCTAGAGCTGCCCCTGTGGGTTTTCGAGCCAATGACTCTTTTCAGGAGTAGAAAGCCTCATCTTTCTCCCAAGAAGTGCCTGGTGGTTTCAAGCTACTGACCTTATAGTCAAGAGCCTGAAGCCTTTGTGGTCTACCACTAGCCTAGTGATGGTTGTTGTCAGGTTCTGTTGAGTCGGTTCTGACTCATAGTGACCCTGTGTATAATAGAAGGAAGCATCTCACAGCCCTAGGGATTGTAGGATTAAGTAATAACCTCTCCTAGTCTGTCCTCGCAATCAGGATGAAACCATCGTCTTGCCTATGTCATAGAAATGGCCAATGTATAATTTTGATGTACTTTAGGAAAGATCTCTCCCATAATACGATTACTGAATAATCTTTGAACTTTGGGAAATACTCCTGATACTCTCTGTGCATCTGCTTTTTGATTCTAGCTCCCTTCTAGGTATTACACGAAGGTTGATTAGAGATTGGGCTGAATATCAAGCCCAGGCACTAACCTAGAAATTTTGGTTGTAAATCTCTATTGATTAAAAAAACAACAACACAAAAAACAACTCTATTGATAACATAAGTCCCCCCCCCCCACAGTTTTCTTTTGTCTCAGTTAAGACCTGCTACTTTGTTTTAAAAATAGAAATAGAAATTTTTAGTATTGAAGAGTACCAGTTCCCTCTGCACCCCCACCCCCTCTATTTGGAGAGAGAAATGATTGAAAATTATGTTTACAGGCAGTTTGGAGAAATGAAGCACACATTGTCCTTCAGAGTACAGTGGGCAGCAGCAGGGACTGACTGTGCTATCCTGCAGTGACCTAGTGTCAGCACAGAATCACCTCCAGGGGGCCTGTGGCCACATGCAGCAGTCTCTGCCTTGTCCAGAGGCCAGTTTAAAACTCGTCTTATGTGCTGTAGACCAGCTAGAGTTTTCCTTGTTGCCATGCTGGTTCACGATGCTGAGATCTGTTTTTGCCTGCAGGAACTGCTAAGTCGCACATCTCTGGAGACCCAGAAGCTTGATCTGATGACTGAAGTGTCTGATCTGAAGCTCAAACTGGTTGGCATGGAGAAGGAGCAGAAAGAGCAAGAGGAGAAGCAGAGAAAAGCAGAGGTACTTGTGATACACAGAATCCTAAGGGTACTCTGACTGTCTTAAATTCATACCTGGAGAGGCATGCTGATTTAGGTCACCTGGTTAGCCCCAGTCCTGGCAGCCACTGAGGACCAGAGCAGCTATACCCTAGAGGATGAAATGATCTGTTTAATAGCAAGTTGTCAGATTTTGCCATGGCTGTAAATTTTTTTTTTTTGTATTTTCTTTTTTTTTTTTAATTAAAAGATAATTTTATTGGGAGCTCTTATAACTCCTTTAACAATCCATACATCAATTGTATCAAGCATATTTGTACATATGTTGCCATTACTATTTTCTTAACTTTCTTTTTTTTTTTTTCTTTTTTAACATTTTATTAGGGGCTCATACAACTGTTATCCCAATCCATACACACATCAATTGTGTATAAGCGCATTTGTACATCGTTTCTCAAAACATTTTCTCTCCATTTAAACCCCCGATATTAGGTCCTCATTTTTCCCCTCCCTCCCTGCTCCCCCCTCCCGCATGAGCCCTTGATAGTTTATAAATGGGTATTTTGTCATATCTTGCCCTGTCCGACGTCTCCCTTCATCCACTTTTCGGTTGTCTGTCCCCCAGGGAGGAGGTCACACACAGTTCCATGTAATCGGTTCCCTCTTTCCTACCCATTCTCCCTTTACCCTCCCTGCTTTGCCACTCACACCACTGGTCCTATAGGGCTTATCCGCCCTGGATTCCCTGTATTTTCAGTTCCTATCTGTACCAGTGTACCTCCTCTGGTCTAGCCAGTCTTGCAAGATAGAATTCGAGTCATGGTAGTGGGAGCGGGGAGGAAACCTTTAGGAACTAGAGGAAAGTTGTATTTCTCATCATTGTTACATCGCACCCTGACTGGCTCATCTCCTCCCCGAGACCCTTCTGCAAGGGGATCTCCAGTGGCCTACTAATGGGCTTTGGATCCATGGCTGTAAATTACAGCAATGCCCAAACCACCCAGTTTGGGTTCTACCTCATTTTTCTCTCTAAATTGTTGACAAGTGAGAAGAGAGAAGCAGCGGCGGAAAAATTCAGACCAGATGTTGAGGGTTTTAGGGAGAACTTTGGTGAGAGCTTTGACAATGTGGCACAGTGAGGCCTTCTCTGAATAGGCCACCATCATTGTATCTAAGGAACTTGGTCACATTTTCTAATGTGTAGTTCCCTGACCCAGATGGAATCCTAGGATCATGTTTTCTTTCCTCTGGATTCCTCATATGGACACATGGATGAGCTCATACATAACCACCAGGGAATGTTTTTTTTTTATTGTTGTTATTTTGAGGCCTCATGCCATTGTTTAGAACACGTCAGACTCCTTGTAGATAAATGTTTAGAGAAGTTTAGCTATAGAGCACCTTTGTTGTGAGTGGCCAGCCCATTTTAATCTTTGATAGCCTTTTGTGTGTGGGTGGGGGGTGGGGGGGGCGCTTCACATATAAGACCCTGTCCTTATACCAGACAATAGGAAATATGGAAAGAAGATAGGGTTTAGGTTTAGAAACTTGTTGACTCAATTACTGACTTAACCGTTTAATAGCTGTATGAGACCCTCAACAAGTTAGCTACTTAATCTCTCTTTGTCTGTAAAATGGCTATGTGGTGAAGACCAAATAAAACCATACAAGTATCTGCCGTAAGTAATAGCTGGCATGTTCTTTGTTGATAATTCTCTTTTCTTAATTCTCTTTCCACATCTACATATCTCCAAAACCTAAAGGTCAATATTCATCCTTTCTGATAAATGTAACCATTATTGTACATTAAAACCTACCCTACTTCTGTATTTGTTGGCAAAGACTAGTGATTGAAATCCTTTTAATGTGCAAGAAATCGTCCTTCTATTGTTTTTTAAACATACTCATTAATAGTTGCCAAATGAAGCAGAAGTGGTATATTCTAATAACTAAGAGTGCCACTCTTCAATCATTTCTTGGCTTTGATCCAAGCTCTGCTACTAAGTAGCTTTGTGATTATAAGCAAGTGATTTAATCTCCAAACCTTTATTGTGTCTTCTGAAGAATGGAAATAATATTTCCTACTTCCTGGGCTGGGAGGAGCAAAGGAGATAATGTTCATACAGTCTTTTCATAACTCTGGATAGTAATAGCTAACATTCATGAATCATTTACTGAAATGATAAGCATGCTGGAAATGGAAAGGTATCCTTAGAAAACATTGCTCACATTCTGTTACAGCCACATACACATACACTTGTCCACATGAAATGTTAGTGAAGTGGATTCAGCTTCTGAAATGTTCAGAGAGAAGCAATTGAATTTCCCTTTGGTTTAGAACTGTTTTATCAGTCTTTCAAGATGTGTGATTACATGTGACTTTAGGGGCAGAATTCAATAAGTTCCATGCAAAGGTTTAGTAGAATTTTAACCCAAAACCACTTCAAAAAAGAAAAGAAAAGATGGTGGGTAAAGATGGTTGGTTTAACAATACACAGCTTAAAAATCCAATATATGACTAGATCCAAGTGAGACCTCATAGTACAGTTATAAATCAGTTTTTTTCCCATCCCTTAGACTACTATAACCTTATTCTCAGGAAGAATCTCCCCAGGTGGAGACGAAGATGGCCACCATCAGGCAGAAATTCCATCCTACCAGGCTGGCAACTCTTGCATGAAGAAAGAGTTTCAATTTAAAAAAAAATCATTTTATTGGGAGCTCATACAATTCTTATCACAATCCATACATACATCCATTGTGCCAAGCACATATGTACATTTGTTGCCATCATCCTCAAAACATTTGCCTTCTACTTGAGCCCTTAATATCGGCTCCTCATTTTTTCCCCTCCCTTCCCACTCCCCTCTCCCTCATGAACCCTTCATAATTCATAAATTGTTAAGGCAGAGCCTCAGGACTGCATGTCAGTGGGCCAATCTGGGTCATGTGTCTAGTTCTGAACCAGTAGTGGCAGTGGGGGCGGGTGCTTGAGTTAAAAGTCTGCCTGTGAAAGAATGCAATTAGTACAAGTTCCTTTCTAAGAAAGAAGAGAAGGACCGACCACTTCTATCCCTGTGGCAAACCTAGAGCAGTTTGTCTCTTGTTCTTCCTTTTCTGAAGGATTGCTTTTAAATTTGAGGGTTTTGTGTTGCTGATTTTTCTTAGGCCATTCCTGCATGATGTCGCTAGTTCAGGTGGAACAGTGACTAAGCACTCAGCTACTAATCGAAAGTCTGACTGTTCCAACCCTTTGCGGTAGTTCTACTCTGTTCTCTGGATCACCATGAGTCAGAGTTAGAATTGCTCAAGGCAGCAGGTTTTTCTTGCTTGAAGCAGTATAGATCCTGAGCTCCTGGCCTTTGTCCCGCCAGATAATGACCCTTCTCAGTTGCTAATACAGATATTAGGTTTCCATGTGGAGAGAATTTTTAAGCTATTCAAACCTGTGATCTGTCAGTGAGTAGCCAATGATCTGGATTCTTATAGTAGCTCTATTCCAGCTGTCTGTAGCACTCAAGCCTTATGTTGAGCCATTGTTATGTACACAGAGATGTTTATTTTGAGTGAGACATTCTGAGGGTTAAGGTCATGGGAGGTGCTACTGGCATGGATACTGGGAATGTAGCCTCCCCATTCTCCATTGCTGCTGTTTTTTTCCATAGAACCAGTTTACCCCCAGGGCTGATTGCTTGTGGTTTGGAAAAGTCAGGAAAATTTTGTTTTTAGGTAACCAGATCTGAAATAAACTTCATCCATGTAGCTCAGATCTTTTCCTCAGATTCCATTTCATATTTCAGTGAGGGTGGGGTGCATGGATGTGGCTAATGATAGCACTGCAGAATGCTCCTTCTGTGTTGACTCTTACCACACACCCGACCCAAAGAAAGTATTCTGCTGCCTGCAGCAAATTGTGGAATGATTACTGAGGGCTTGTAGGTTTTTGTATTTTGTTTCTCAGGTTGCGACAGTTTTATTAACATATAATTTACATATGATAGAGTTCAATAGCTTAACAAATCAAAAAGTTGTGATGTCATCACTATAATCAATTTTAAAACATTTTCTTCTTTCTTGAACTCATTATTATTAGCTCCTTATTTGCTTCAACCTCCCTGCCATAATTCCAAGAAACTATTAATCCAGTTACTGTCACTATAGATTTACCTTTGGTGGATTTCATATCCTGGAGAAACATAGAAAAACAAAAAGAAAAATCCCAACAGCAATAACAAAATAAAACACAGAGAAACTACAGTTGAAAAGGTAACAAGACATAATAAAAAACTAGAACAAATTTACAATGGGTAAAAGGGAGACCAGATGATAAGGTATTATATTTTAACCTAACTACATGTGTATCAGTCCACTTTTCAATGCATTCTCAATGATACCAAGGCTATTCACATTCCTGGTTAATGGTCAGAGGGGCTTCACTGGAAACTTAATCCATGTGAGGACCCTGCAAATCGATTTGGGGCTTTCGCTGTCATCCATAATCTTCTGCAAACTGGTTGCTTAGAACTTAAACTCACCTCACTTAAGTGGCTGCTTAATTTAAAACCTTTAAGACCCAGAAGCCATTCTTTCTGATAGCCAGGCAGATTGGCTTTTAACTTCTGCATTCTTTTTCTTGCTCAATATCTGCATATCATTTCACTATTTCTACTAGTTCACTACCTGACCATACCCTAATTTATTTACTTAATTCCCTTTCGATGGGCATTTAGTTTATTTTCAACTTTTTGCTATTACAACTAATGCTGCAGTGAAATTACTTGTTCATGTGTGAGGGTATTGACATAGAATTGATGGGCCACAGGGTGTGTGCACTACAAATTTTGACAGGTATTTCTAAATTGCCCTTTAAACCCCCAAACCAAATCCATGTGGGAGATGCCCAGTAGTTTCACGTAGGAAAGAACCATTAAAACAACAAGACAAAAGAACCTTGGTGTCCATTGACAAAGCAAGAGTAGTAAACAAAGTGAGCTGAGATTGCAATAAGAACAGCAATGAGAA